GGGAGACTAGGGTGGTGAGGGCATCAATCTTACTTTCTAGCTTCTTCTCCACTAAATCCGATGAACCCACATCATGTACACCCCTAAGGACTATGGCATCACTCCTCATGTTAAATTGCTGGGAATTGGATGCCATCTTCTCAATTAAATCTCTAGCGACGAACAGGTGTCATGTCTCCTAAAGCTCCTCCACTAGCTACATCTATCATACTCCTATCCATTGTGTTCATCCCCTCATAAAAGTACCTGCAGGTAGTAGCTGTTCCGATATTTGGTGGTGAGGGCAACTTGCACAAAGTCTCTTGAACCTCTCCCAATACTTGTATAAGCTCTCTCCCATCTGTTTCCTGATACCTGATATATCCTTCCTGATGGCAGTGGTCCTAGAAGCAGGGAAAAATTTCTCTAGAAAGACTATCTTCAGATCATCCCAGCTCGTTATGGAACCAGGAGCTAAGTAGTACAACCAGTCTTTTTGGCAAGATCCTCCAAAGAGAAAGGAAAAGCCTTCAGGTATATGTGATCTTCAGGAACATTTTGTGGCTTCATGGTGGAGCAGACTATATGGAACTCCTTGAGATGCTTGTGTGGATCCTCACCTGCACGACCATGAAACTTGGGCAACAAATGGATTAGTCCAGTTTTAAGCACAAATGGTACATCCTCTTCAGGGTATTGGATACATAAATTTGCATAAGTGAAATCAGGTGCAGCCATCTCCCTGAGAGTACTCTCACGAGGTCCAATAGGTTGATCACCCATGTTATTAGTTTGGAAATTATCAGAAGAAGGTATATTAGGTGCAGTACTATCACTATGACTATCTAATGGTTCAGACTCAAGAGATGAATTCCTAGAATGTCTAACTAATCTATGAAAGGTTCTATCTATCTCGGGATCAAAAGGTTGTAAAAGGTCAGGATTGCTCCTAGTCATGCACTATATTCAACAATTCATGTATTTCCCAAGAGTTAAAAAAAAATTCCTAAAAAAATCAGTTGTTTACTGGAAAGACAACGGTAGATCGTGAATAAGTACACCAGGTAGGTTCCCAGGAAAGAGAGGTGGGTCACTAATGGACACGCTTAAGTACCAAATCTTTCCTAGCCGTAACCCTCCTAGACATGCACTCTCACACTACCAAGCTATATCCAGAGTTTCCTATGAGAATGGAAATTATAATTTTTTTTTATAAAGCTAGAAAAACAAATTAGGGATGAAATTGTTTTTTTTTTTTTGAATTATTATTTATAATTTTTTTTATAATATATATTTTTTTAATATTTATTTTTTTGTTATTTTTTTTTTGTTATTTTTTTTTATTTTAACCCAAAAGAGTTTTAGAACATAGTGAGCTATCAAAATAGTATTAAGAGAAGTAAGAATTTTAAATTAAATAGAAAATCAAATAAAATATCCAAATAACTGAAAATCAAATATTAAATAACTAAAAATCAAATAAAATATTTAAATAACTAAAAATCAAATAAAATATCTAAATAACAGAAAATCAAATAAAATATTCAAATAACAGACAAATCAAATAGAATATTAAATAACTAACAATCAAATAAAATATTTAAATAACTGAAAATCAAATAAAATATCCTAATAATAGCAAATCAAATAAAATATTTAAATAACTAAAAAATAAAATAAAATATTTAAATAACAAGCAAATCAAATAAAATATTCAAATAACAGACAAATCAAATAAAATATTCAAATAACAAGCAAATCAAATAAAATATTTAAATAACTAACAAATCAAATAAAATATAAAAAAAACTGAAAATCAAATAAAATATTTAAATAAAAAAATGAAAACAGAAACAGAAAATAAAAATTGAAAACCTAGACAAAAATCTTGGTCCCCGGCAACGGCGCCAAATTTGATCGATGTCGTACTCGGTCAAATAATTAAAACAAATAAATGTAGTACTAGGAAGCTTTCCTAGGTCGTCTCCCAAAGACCACAAATTTCTATCAAAGTTTATCAATTTTTAGTAACAAAAAATTAAAAGGGGAGTTTTTCAAAATGAAAATATTAGATGAAACAAAACAAAAACAGATTATAAAAATGCGGATTAAAAACAGATTAAAATGCAATTGATTTTCTGATTCTAATGCAGCGTCACTTATCCTAGATTACGAAATTAATTCGAAATTAACCGACTAAGCGAAGATAAATCCCAAATTATATTCTAATCCAAAATTAATCAACTAAGCGAAGATTAATCTCAAATTAGTTTTAACCCTTGTTCCAATATGAAATTAACCAACTAAGCGAAGATTAATCCCAAATTTTCCTTAACCCTTATTCCAACATTAAATTAACCAACTAAGAGAAGATTAACCCCAAATTATCCTTAAACAATTAAGCATTGCATACATCACATAATCTCATATCTAACACAGAATTAAGGAAACTGTGATATAAGTTTCGGTTTATTAAGCATAAACAAATTATAATTCAATACTGAGATTAGAAGATGAAGAGTTAAGAGAACAAACAATATGAAATTGAAGAACAAAACCTCAAAGATCTACTTGCATTCTTCTCAGAAAATCAATACAAAGATTTAGCTATCCATGGAAAGTTGAAAACACAATAGAAGAAACATAATTAAAATTGAAACAAGAATTTAAAAATAATGACAGAAGAGTAAACAAACTTGAATGTAAATTGCAGAAGATGAAAGACGGAAGTGTGGTGGCTGCGTAGTCCTTGTATGATCTGTATCTTCCCATGTGTGATGTTCCTCTCTTATATAAATAACCCTAACCCTAATCTTTATTGAGGTTTGGGCTCAACTAGTCCATGAAACACATCATAAATTGGCTTCAGTGCAGGTCCATGAACTTCAAACATGTGCAGTATTTTCAATACTTATCCAAATTAAGCGATTTTGGTCTCCAACGAAAGCCTTTTGAGCTAGCTTTAAAACGCCACCGTTTCTACTATTTTCTGAGCTCTAATGAATTTAGGAGACTTAAATTACTGAAGCATGTCCATTGGGCCGGCCTGGTGCGCTTGACCCGTTTTGGATAATTTATGTAAAATCCAATTTAGCTCCGAATTGAATGATTTTGGATCCTGTGGAAAGCTCAATGTGTCTAGTTTATAATTATTTTAGAATTATGTTATTTGGAGATCTGTAGAAAAAAATGATAAATAAAACAATAAACTAATGTCAGTACCCGTATAAAATAAAATATGACATTTGGCCCAACTTTTCAAGTCCAAAATTACTTTAAACTGTCCTAAAATTAATAATGAGTAAAAATTAGATCAAATAGATTAAAATCTAAATTATTAGCCCAATGAAGCCCAATCAATGAAAATGCACTAATAATAGACAATTAAACACAATGCACCAATTAAGATAAGTATATAAAGATAAGAAAATGCGGGAAAATAATGACTCATCAGTACTGCATGTGTCTTGAAAATAAGGGAACACATTTATATAATAATCATGTGTTGTGACACACTGTTCAACAAAATTTTGTTGTTTCGTATTTAACTGGCTTATAAGAGAGGTCAACTCAAAAGTTTCACCTTGTGGAACTGAGTATATTATGATTTAGTTCCACACTATCCTATTGCTTGTTTTAAAATTTACTTATCAATCCTAATTTTGTTTGAGTATGGTCATAATTTATAATTCCACTAGTTTTGCAAACATGCACTAATAGAATTGCTAAAATAAGTTGCACCAAATAGAAAAAGTTAGAAAGCTACAGGTGACCACAACATTGCCACAATGTTTGTTTTAAAATCTACAAAAGCTAATTTTGTTTTGTATTGCCCTTATGCAACAATTTATCATCAAATCAACACTTCATCAATTGAGCTTGTTGTTAACAATAAAAAGAATACTACACAACACATGGTAGTTAGAATCACACTAATTGTACGATTTGAATCACGATTCATTTCAAAAATCCTACTTTGCGATACAATTTATTGAATATAACATTTTATACTTTGAATCTAAGTTTGAATTAGATAAATCAAACTTGAATTGTGGGATTCACAATTCAACTCTATCGTACACGATTCTAGAATGTGTTTTTTAAAAAAGTCGATGTGTAAGTGAAAGAAGTGAAACAAATGGGTGAAACAATGTGACAAAAAAAAGTGAAAAAGGATGATTAGAACAAAAGTACACACATAATAAACTGGCTATATTTTGAGAAGGGTAAGAAATGGTGAGAGTGTAGAAAAGAAGAAGGGTGAGTGTGTGAAAAAAGAAAGGTGCAACACTGCAGTGAGAGTGTTTATAAGAAGACAGGTGTAGTGGTAAGAAGAAAAACTCAGTAGTGCAGTGGTGAAAAAAAAAAGTAGTGGTGCAGCAGTGAGAAGAAAAATGTAGTGGCGTAGTGGTGAGAAGACAAACGCAATGACACAATTATGAGAAGAAAAAAAAAAGGTGAGAATGAATAGTGTAAAAGAAGAAATTGTTTTTGTTTTAGATTCAACATGACATTTACTTTTTCTGTCTAATTATGATTGTAATTTTTTTTATCAATGACATTACAATGCACTTTTCATTGATATTGGAACCTTTTTTAATTGCAAATGTACCCTCACTTATTTCTTATTTTATTTCTTTCAAAAAAATTAAAGTTACAATTAAATTAGTATATAATTACTTATTATTATTATTTTTTTTATTTTCTATATAAAATTAGATTATATTTTATTATTTTTTAAAATAAGTTTGAATTAATTATGACTTTTTATTTTTTTATTTTTTTATAAAAAATGATTATGTTTTTACCTCGGAGAAAAGAAAATCATTTTTGTTTGAATGGTTGATAGAAGTAATGAGTCAATCAAAGCAGAAGAACGAAATAGATATTACATAGAGTCATTGTGAGATTGTTCCCCCTCATAGACTTTTAGTTAAGTGCAACTATTGTTCACATACTTGTTAGGGTGGTCTTACAAGAATGAAACATCATCTTGTTGGAACAAAGGAGAATGTCACTACTTGTACATCTGTCTGAGATGATATTAAAAACATAATTTTTAAGTTGTTAGAAGTTAAAGAATAAAAAAGATAAAAGAAGTAAATAGGATAGTTTATTTTGAAGAGGTGGAAATCGAAGATTGTAATAAAAAAAGACATTAGAGTTGTTTGCCAATAAGGGGAAACAAGGAATTATAAAGCATAAAACCATGAATGAAATGTTTAAAGATAGAGAGTAGGTGATTCTAGACATTTGCCAATGCATATATGACAATGCTTTACCATTTAATTTGGTAAGAAGTTCCTTATTTGTCCTAATGTTGAAATCTGTTTGGGAATATGGAAAGAGTTTAAAGCCTCTACTTATCATGAAGTTGGAGTATCTTATTTGAAAAAGGTGATTGACAATATTCAAGCTAGTTTGGAGAAATATAAGATTGAATGAGAAATGGGGTTGTACTTTCATGTGTGATGGTTGGAAAGATGGAAAGGGAAGTCTCTTACCAACTTTTTAATGAATAGCCCAAGTGGAATAATGTTGTTAAAATCTTTTGATACTAGTAATGTGATCAAGGATATCAAACAAATGTTTAAACTTAGATTCTATGATAAAGAAATTGGGGGGGATAATGTTGTGCAAGTTGTGACAGATGGTGCTTCTAATTTTGTGTTAGAGGAAAAGAGACAAAATTATTTTGGTCTCTTTGTGCAACTCATTGCCTTGATTTAGTTCTTGAAGGCATTGGTCAGCTCCTAATATTTTACAATACCATTGCAAATGCCAAAAAAAGTCATAACTTTCATTTATAGGCATACATGGGTCCTAAACTTGTATAGATTCTAAAGGAAAAGAATTAGATTGACTAGCAATCATAAGATTTGCAATTGTATTTTTTACCCTACAATGTATAGCATAACAAAATAACGCTCTTCGATCTATGTTTGTCTCTCATAAATGGACAACTAGTAACCATGCTAGTAAAAGTGAAGGTAAACAAGCGGTGAACTTGTTTCATGTGATGATAGATTTTGAAAATTCATCCAATATTGCTTGAAGTGTGTGACTCCACTTGAGAAGTATTAAGGCTTGTAGATGGAGACTTAAAACCTGCCATGCCATATATTTATGAAGATATGGATAGAGTTAAAGAGTAAATAGCTATGAATTTCAAGAATCAACACTCTCATATATAAAAAAGCGTGGAAGATAATTGATACTAGTTGGAATTTGCAATTACATAGGTCTTTTCTTGTTGTTGCTTACTACCTTAATCCTAAGTAAGTAATTATAACACTATACTTTCTTATATTACAATTTCATAATATTCTTTAATACTTATTTTTTATTTTTATCATATTTCATTATGACAAAAACTTCAATACGGATAGCGAAGTTTTATATCGTTTGTATGAGACTGTTAAAAAAATAATCCTAGATAGAAAGATTCAATTTCAATTTGATCAACAACTTGATAGATTTAAGAAAGCCCAATAATTGTTTTGAAGAAGCATGATAATAAATACTAGGGATAAGAAGCAACTTGGTATAACTTTTTTTTTTCAAGATTTCATTAAAAGCATAATTCCCCAATTATAAATGTTGACTATTTATTTGAAGTTGCAGTTCTTTGGTGGGAAAGTAACGGTGGAGAGGATAAAAATTTACAAAATCTAACAATGAGGATTTTAAGTCTCACTTGTAGTGCTATTGGATGCAAAAGAAATTAGAGCATATTTGTTTAAGTGGATACTAAAAGAAGAAATCACTTAGATTAATAAAGATTAAATGTTTTTGTCTTTGTTAAGTATAATCTTTAACTTGAGATAATACGAAAGGTTAAAGAGGAGAAATGGATATTTATTATCCTATATATCTATTTGATATTGGCTCAAATGATGACTGAATTACTAAAAAAGAGGATCTTATCTATCAAAAGATATTTTATAAATCTTTTACTATTAAAGAGGGAGCTCAGGAAAAAAAAAAGGAAGAGGAGTATTTATATAACTATAAAACTTGTGTTATTAAATTAGTTATAAATATTATAATACTCGTCTAAGAAATTTAACCCTTAAGGTTGATCAAAAGAAAAAATCTATTATAAAAATAAATGATAATGAAATTGAAGAGATAATAAGAAAAGTTGAGAAAAAAATTAAATAAACTGAAAAAAAATATATATATTAAAAAAAAATAATGTAATAATATTGATCTCTAATGCAGAATTTAAATAATATTTATTATTATATTTTAATTTTATGATTGAACATTATATTATGATATTTTTAATATTTTTTATTACTTATTTTTATTTAAAAATATCATATTTTATTTATGATGTATCATTTATTCACGATTAAAAAAATATTCACTATTTGAATCTCAACCGATAACCATGACAACCAATTGGGTACTACTGCAAGAGCAAACTCATGCTTTAATTGGATGGCTGCACCACACGATCAAGACTGCACCGCTTGATCTACTTCCAATTTCAATTTAATGGTTGCTTTAATTGGAACAGCATCAACAAATGGCTTAATGTCTCCAAATCTGCACTGTAGTTACTACTGCACCGATTCCACTTGGACACCTCATGATTCAGTTAAAATGTTGTATCAATTGGAAAATCAGGGTGCTGGTTCAAATTCAATCCAGACACCTCATGCTTTGGATTGAATGGCTGGCTGAATGGAAAATTCTTCATCACATAAACCAGCTGCTTTACTGCACCGATTGCAATGGCTTCAAATGTGAATCAGCCACAGCCACCACCTCATGTTTGGGTTCTCTAATGATAATACCGCTCCGCACCCAACTGCTTAAAGGAATGCTGCACCGTTTGCTGACCGAGACATCCATCTGCTTTTGGTTTAAAGATACTGCATAACATACACTAGTTGTATCATGGCACCGCACCACTTAATTGCCACGCAGCTGCTTGGTTCAATTAATTTGCTGCAACAAAATAACAGGTACAAGACCAGTTGCTTCTAATTAAGCGCCACTTAGCTGCTTAACCGACCATGGACCAACTAGGACACATCATGCTTTGGTTAGTTGCACCACATGAATAAAACAGATTTACAACTACTTATTAAGATCAGCATCCCTTGCGCAAGATTCTTGTCAAGGCTGCACCGATGGATATCATATAAATTATGCACCAATTCATCTTTTCAATCAAAACAAACAGCAACAATTCACCAATGAACATATCAACAATTCACCAATGAACATATCAGCAATTCACCAATGAACCAGAGTCAATACCGCCACACTACAATGCCTCAACCCAGGGTGCTTTCAATACTGCCACAATGATTTAAGACCAACTACACAACTGCCACAATGCGGACTTCAATTTTGTACTATGCTTGCTTCACCTCTTCAATTAATCATCAACTGTGATGAACGATATTGCAACTGTTTCAGAGAAAAAAAAATTAACTATTTTACATCAGACAAATTTATTCGTGGATGTTACGGTAGGTTCACGAATGCCATATCAGTTACGGGTGAAGTAAGGATAATTTATACATATCTCATCTCTTAATCTATGTAGATTATTTTAAAAATAAAATTATGACTAAGAACTAAAAAATATATACGTGACAATTTTATATTTGATTATGATTTCTGATTCCTTTTTTTGTTATTGGGTATGTGTTGCCTGAAAGTTTTTAATACTTCTTGATAAAGAATATATCAAAGAATTTTAAAGTTTATTTTTATATATAAAATATATTCACGAGGAAGAAAAGGATGGAGGATAAGAAGAATAGAACCCCAAATAAAGATCACATTGTTTACGCATGAAATTTTTTGGGTGCAGAAAGACAAATCATGAAATAATTGTAAAATATTATGTAGTTTTCCTACGTTCTTAATTCATTATAGAAAACTACTTTACAGATCTTTAGATTATTGATTTTCACAATATAACATATATCAGTACATGAATCATAGTAAGAAGACTAACCTTGATATATGAGAGTCTTCTTTAATCTTTTCGTTCTCCAATCTCTTTTTCTCAATCTATCTCTTTGTCTTTCTTTCTCTTCTCACGCTTTCTTGATGGTTTACTGTGAAAAAAACTTTATGACCAGAGACAGAACCCTTATTCCATTTTATTAACCAACGTCCGTCAAGTTGGTTACCGTAAGTTAATATTTTTATTTTATCTTTATTTTATTCTAACTTCACATAATAACCAATAGATCCTCATAATTTATTAAATTACATTTGGGCCCATTATTATATTTCACATGAGTCACATAATGGAATGGATTAATTAAATTAATTCTAACATTTTGACTCATGTGATGTCATACGATTCTGTGATTTAATACTTAAGTCATAATGCGCATTAAAGGACCTTACATAAATTGGTTCTATCATTATTCATAATTAAAGATACAGCTATAACAAGAGTCATGACGGTTACATGTCATTCAATCGACAGGCTCCCTTCCATGTACCATTATATTATCTCTTTCTCCTTAATATGACTTTATAATGAAAAGTTCATAATGGGTTCAAACATAATATCATTTTAATAATAATAACATAATTTGTTTTCTTCATCATAATTTGCATGCATATAAAGAAGAAAACACAAATTTCAGAAACTTATACATTAAAGATCTCATAGTGTCACATAAGCATTAATAATAACATTAACATTCAACATTCACTAGTGAACATAATGCCCACATTCATTATATGACCAGCAAATAATTTGGGCGATAATCCCTTTGTTAAAGGATCAACAATCATAAGATCAGTGCTAGTATGTTCTATTGACACTCTACGTTTCTGAACTTCTTCTTTAACGACAAAGTATTTCAATTCCATATGCTTAGCACCTTTGGAATACTTGTCGTTCTTAGAAAAGAAGACTGCTGCGGAATTGTCACAATAATTTTTCAGCGACTTGGCAATGTTGTCGACTACTCCAAGTCCTGAAATAAAACTCCGCAACCAATTAGCTTGAACTGTGGCCTCAAAGCATGCCACAATTTCAGCTTCCATGGTGGATGCAGCAATGACAGATTGCTTTGCACTTTTCTATGAAATCGCTCATCCGGCTAAAAGATACACATAACCAAATGTAGACTTTCGTGTATCCATATAACCAGCTAAATCTGAATCTGTATATCCAATCACCTCAAGGTGATCAACTTTCTTATAAGTAAGCATGTGATTCTTTGTTTCTTGTAAGTATCTTAAAACTTTCTTTGCAGCCTTCTAATGATCCAGTCCAGGATTACTCTAGTATCTACCCAGCATACCAACTGCAAAACTAATATCTGGCCTCGTACATATTTGAGCATACATCAAACTCCCAACAAAAAATGCATAAGAGATATTTTCCATCTGTTTCCGTTCCAAGTCATTCTTTGGACATTGCATGAGACTAAATTTGTCTCATTTTTGTATTGGAACGGAAGATGCTGAACACTTCTCCATTCTGAATCTCTCTAAAATTTTATTAATATATGCTTTCTGAGACAAACCTAACAGTCCTTGTGATCTATAACGGAATATTTCTATTTCTATCACATAGTATGTCTCACCCATGTCTTTCATTTCAAAGTTGTTAGAGAGAAACTTCTTAGTCTCACTTAATAGACCAAGATCATTAGTCACAAGCAAGATATCATCAACATACAGAATCAGAAATATAAACTTGCTCCCACTGACCTTCAGATATATACACCGATCAACAATGTTTTTCTTAAATCCAAAGGATATAATAGTATCATTGAACTTAAGATACCATTGTTGAGAAGCTTGTTTAAGTCCATATATTGATTTCTTAAGTTTACACACCATATGTTCATTTCCTTCTTCAATAAACCCCACTGGTTGATTCATATAAATATCCTCCTCTAAATCTCCATTCAGAAAAGCAGTTTTAACATCCATTTGATGCAACTCAAGATCATAATGAGCTACTAATGCCATGATAATTCTAAAGGAATCTTTCTTAGAAATAGGTGAAAATGTTTCCTTATAATCAATGCCACCTTTCTGAGTAAAACCTTTGGTAACAAGACGGACCTTGTTGTAGACCCCAAATCTTGCCCGACTTTACAATAAAGATCAGAAGACCTCCTTTTCGAAGATGAACGAAGCCTAAGAAGCCACTAGGAGTGACTATTAGGCCCCATAATAGGATAGGAGGGATTTTTGGCACAAAAATAAGGATTTTTGCCTTTTTGGGTCGAGACCGCCGTCTTGCCTTGCACAAGTGGCGAGATGGCCGTCTCGTTTGGCGAGACGGTCGTCTCGCCACTAGCGAAAGGCGAGACTGCCGTCTCGTTTGGCGAGACGGCCGTCTCGCCATTTGCGAAAGGCGAGACTGCCGTCTCGCCATTCCTGCAAGGCGAGACGGTCGTCTCGACTTTGTCAGACGAGACGGCCGTCTCGACCTGACAGGCGCGAATCCCTATAAATAGGGCGCTCCCTCCCCTCATTTCCACACACCACACAACTTTCTCACTCTCTCTCTAGTCACATCAAGAGTTTCTCTCTCTAGAATCCCTCCGACGCATTTCCGGAGCTTCTGAGTGTCTTTAGAGTGTTTTTAGAGCGTTTCGAGAGGTTTCCAACACCGTGTAGAGTGAAGGGCTGCCGCAAAGCACCCTATTTTTAAAGAATTAAATAGAAAGCTTGCTTCGAAGGTTTCTACTCTCCTTCTCTACTTTTTATTGCTTTATTTAAATTATGCAATAGACATTAGGGCCATGTAGTCATAGTTTTTAAATTCCGCAAAATAAAAGGGCAAAAGTGTATTTTTCCGGTTTATTTATTAACAGAATAGCTGGCCTATCATAGGGAACCTGAAAGGGGCGTCGTAAAGGAACTAACACTTCCTTTACGCGTAACTAACTCCCTTACCCAACTCTGGTTCTAACGACCAAAGTTGGTTTTTCGAAAACCAACGCCTTTTAAACTCCTTTTTCGATGTTTCCGGTAAAAACATCGGTGGCGACTCCAGAGAACCCTCAAAAACTAGCTCTTGGATTAGCCCGGTTATCGGACAATCCAAGAGCACCTTTTTGAAAACCTCGCCCTCAGGTTCAGCCCGGTTATCGGACAACCTAAAGGCATTGTAACCACCAATAAAAAACGCAAAAATCAAGAGAGTCGGAAACCATCGCGTCGCTCCGACCGCCCTCATTTTGACGGCGGCGACAGATGGCGACTCCATTGGGGACGCCTAGAGAGTTGATCCCATTTAGTGATGGGCCAACTTAAAATAAAAAAACCAAGAAAATTACGCTTTTACCCTACCCTGTATGATAACATGTTTTACTTTTTGGCTTTAATAACTGTTGTTTGTTTATATTTATGCAATTGTTTGAAATAAAAACTGCACACAAACCCTTGCACACTACAGTTCCCTCTATACCCGGGGGCAAGTGAGAAATCCATAGGGAGTGGGTGACAGGTACGGTTCACTGTAGTGATGGCCTTGTGCCCACTGGTGTGATCGGAAACCACCACTCAAGGTGATAACCTTCCTCTTTTGGCACAAAGACTGACTATGGCCTTAGTGCTAAGCATGGTCGGAAGGCTGGAGAGTGGGGACCCTATAATGGGGGCACCTTGGGGGCCTTAGCCTTGGTGAGAACAGTTAGAACCTACCTTCGCCAATGCACTTTTCTGCAGGAAAACCCTACCTCGTGATTAAAAACGAATTCTCGCCTGTTAGTGGATGATCGAATTGTGTGTGCATCTGTTTGTTGCATTTGTTTGTTTCATAGCATAACCAAACAACAGAAAGAAAAATCACAAAAATATTTTTGCAATAAACACCCTTATCTTGGACAGTCTGCCTTTTAGCTAGCCTGGTTTCAGGTACTTTGTAAGC